AGAGGAACAAGAACAGACCAAACCCAAACCCAGCAGAAGAAAAGAAATAACAAAAATCAGAGCAGAACTAAATGAAATTGAAACAAAAAATAAGAATACAAAAGATAAGTGAAACGAAAAGCTTGTTCTTTGAAAGATACAATTGATAGACAATTAGTGAGATAAACCAAGAAAAGAAGAGAAGATCCAAATAAGCTCAATTTGAAACAAAAAGGGAGATGTTACAACCCATAACAGAAATACAAAAGATCATTCAAGGCTACTAAGGATACCTTCATGGGCACAAACTTGAAAACTTAGAGGAGATTGATAAATTCCTGGAAATATACAACTCTCCTAGATTAAACCAGAAAGAAATGGGAACTCTGAAGAGACCAGTAACAAGCACCAACAAAAAAGTCCAGGGCCAGATGGATTCACAGCTGAATTCTATCAGATATTCAAAGAAGAAATGGTACCACTCCTACTGAAACTATTCCAAAAGGCAGAGAAAGAGGGAATCCTCTCTAAATTATTCTATGAAGCCAATATTACCCTAATACCAAAAACGAGGAAAGAACATAGCTAAAAAAGAAAACTACAGACCAATATCCCTGATGAATATAGATGCAAAAATCCTCAACAAAATATTAGCTAACCTAATTCAACAGCATATCAAAAACATAATCCATCATGATCAAGTGGGTTTCATACCATGGATTCAGGGTTGATTTAACATAGGCAAGTCAATAAATGTGATACACCACATAAACATAAGTAAAAACAAAAATCACATGATCATCTCAGTAGACGCAGAAAAAGCATTTGACAAAATCCTGCATCGCTTTATGATTAAAATCCTCAGCGAAATCAGCATAGAAGGGAAATAAGGTAATAAAAGCCATCTATGACAAACCCACAGCCAAATTATACTGAATGGGGAAAAGTTGAAAGCATTGCTCCTGAGAACTGGAACAAGACGAAGATGCCCATTTTCACCACTTCTAGTCAACATAGTACTAGAAGTCCTAGTCAGAGTGATCAGACAAGAGAAAGAAATAAAGGACATCCAAATGAATAAAGAGGAAGCCAAACTGTTGCTGTTTGCTGATAATGTGATCATATACTTAGAAAACCCTAAAGACTCTTCCAAAAAACTCCTGGATCTGATCAATGAATTCAGTAAAGTTTCAGGTTAGAAAATTAATGTATACAAATCAGTAGCAGTGCTATACACCAACAGCAACCAAGCTGAGAGTTAAATCAAGAACTCCGCTACTTTTACTACAGTGGAAAACAAACAAACAAACAAAACTTAGAAATATACCTAACCAAGGACGTGAAAGACCTCTACAAGGAAAACTACAAAACACTGCTGAAAGAAATCATAGACAACAGAAATAAATGGAAACATATCCCATGCCCATGAATGGGTATAATCAATATTGTGAAAATGACCATGCTGCCAAAAGCAATAGACAAATTCAATGCAATTCCCATCAAAATACCATCATCATTCTTCACAGCACTGGAAAAAAACAATTCTAAAATTCATGTAAAACCATAAAAGCCCGCATTAGCCAAAGCAAGAGTAAGCAAAAAGAACAAATCTGGAGGCATCACATTACCTGACTTCAAACTATACTACAAGGCTATAGTCACCAAAGCAGCATGGTACAGGTATGAAAATAGGCACACAGACCAACGGAACAGAATAGAGAACCCAGAAATAAGCCCAAATACTTACAGCTAACTGATTTTTGATAAAGCAAACAAAAACATAAAGTGTGGAAAGACACCCTATTCAACAAATGGTGCTGGGATAATTGGCAAGCCACATGTAGAAGAATGAAACTGGATCCTCATTTATCACTGTATACAAAAATCAACTGAACTCAAGTTGGATCAAAGACTTAAATCTAAGACCTGAAACCATAAACATTCTAGAAGATAACATTGGAAAAACTTTGCTAGATATTGGCCTATGCAAATAGTTCATGACCAAGAACCCAAAGGCAAATGCAACACAAGCAAAGATAAATTGATGGGACTTAATTAAACTAAAAAGCTTCTGCACAGGAAAAGAAATAATCAGCAGAGTAAACAGACAACACAAGGGCTGGGAAAAAATATCCACAAACTATGCATGTGACAAGGGACGAATATCCAGAATCTACAAGGAACTGAAATCAGCAAGAAAAAAACAATCCCATCAAAAAGTGGGCTAAGGACCTGAATAAACAATTCTCAAAAGAAGATATACAAATGGCCAATAAACATGTGAAAAAATTCTCAACATCACTAATTTTCAGGGAAATGCAATTCAAAACCACCATGCAATACCACCTTATTCCTTCAAGAATGGCCATAATTTAAAAATCAAAGCATAATAAACATTGGCTTTGGTGTGGTGAAAAGGGAACACTTTTACACTCCTGGTGGGAATATAAACTACTACAACTACTATGGAAAACAGTATGGAGATTCCTTAAAGAACTAAAAGTAGATCTATCATTTGGTCCTGCAATCCCACTCCTGGATATTTACCCAGAGCAAAAGAAGTCATTATATGAAAAAGACACTTGCATAGGCATGTTCATTGCAACACAGTTTGCAATCACAAATTATACAAATATGGAACCAGCCCAAATGGCCACCAATCAGTGAGTGAATAAAGAAAATGTTTTATTTATATATATGTATATATAGCCATAAAAATATACTGTGTGTATATATAATATAATATATACTGTATATATATACAGTATATTATATATTATATATAATAATTATATCTTTTATATATATACACTACTCGGCCATAAAAAGGGAACAAAATAATGGCATTCTCAGCAACCTGGATGGAGTTGGAGACCATTATTCTACGTAAAGTAACTCAGGAGTGGAAAACGTAATATCATATGTTTTCACTTATGAGTGAGAGCTAAGCTATGAGGATGCAGAAGCCTAAGAATGATATAATTGACTCTGGGGACTCAGGGGAAAAGGTAGCGGGTGGCAAGGGATAAAGACTACATATTGGGTACAGTGTATACTGCTCAGATGATGGGTGCACCAAAATCTCAGAAATCACCACTAAACAACTTATCCATGTAACCAAACACCACTTGTTCCCCAAAAACCTATTGAAGTTTTAAAAAATAAAATTAAATTAACCATCACACCAGCAGAGGGATGATTATCCCAGGCAAAAGGAACTGCAAGCACAAAAAGCCCTGAAGCAGGAGCAAGCTTGATTACAAGAGCAGATAGGCAGCCAGTTTCACTGGAACATAGTGTGAGGAGAGTTTTGCAAGATACATTTGAAGAGATAGGCAGAGGTTAGATGATATAGGACATGGTAAGGAGTTTGGATTTTATTCTGAAGGTGTTGGAAATCCATTGAGAGTTTTAAGTGGAGAGTGATATGATCTGATTTACATTTTGGTTTTTTGTTGTTGTTGTTTTTTTTTAGAAACAGTATCTTGCTCTATCACCCAGGCTGGAGTACAGTGATTCACTGTACTTCATGGATTACTGCAGCCTCGAACTCCTGGGCTCTAGTAATCCTACTGCCTCGGCCTCTCAAGTAGCTGAGGCCACAAGTGCGTACCACTATGCCTGGCTAATTTATTTTATTTTATTTTTTGTAGAGACAGGATCTTACTATGTTGCCCAGGCTGTTCTGGAACTCCTGATCTCAAGCAGTAGTTGTGCCTCAGTCTCTCAAAGTGCTGGGATTATAGACATGAGCCACTACACCAGATCTGATGTAGATTTTGACAGATCACCCAGCTACTCTGTATAGTAGGTCTTGTGAGGGGCGAGTATGAAAGCAGAGTGATAAATTACACAGCTATTGCAGTCAACTAGCTAAGAGACAATGTGGCTTAAATGAGGATGGGGCATTGACAGTATATTTTAAAATATGCAAGAAGACCCAGATATGCATGTTCTTCTTCCTCCCTCTTTGACTCAATTACGCCCACAACTTTAGTCACTCACATACTTCCATTAGTAGAAGTGAACACAAATCTCTGCTGAATTAACTGTCTATTGTGTTGAATCAGTAATATGTGTATAATGTACACTTTAGATGAAATTATTATATTAGTTCAAATTATTCATCATTTTAGTTTTTATACTTAATAATCACATTAAACACAGTCATATTCTATCAATGAACATCTAGAAAATGAGAGGGAAAGTAAAATACCTTTCATCTAAAGGGAAGGGAAGGGAAGGGAAGGGAAGGGAAGGGAGAAGGGAAGAAGGAAGGAAGGAAGGAAGGAAGGAAGGAAGGAAGGAAGGAAGGAAGGAAGAAAGGAAGGAAGGAAGGAAGGAGGGAAAGGAAGGAAGGAAGGAAGGAAGGGAGGAATGATTTTTAATATCAGACTTACAGAGTTAAAAGAATCCTAAAATAAGAAGTCATCAAAACTGTACAGGTCACAGCCCTGCCAGCAACTTGCTGTGTGATCCTGGGCAAATCAGTTGATATGGCCGAGATCTTTACTTCCTTTATCTGTGAAATGATCAATTAAACTAATTGTTCTAGAATGTCTCTTCTGTTCCCCAAATTATTATTCTAGAAACCACTCTCTTTACCATGTTTTAGGAGTGTTATCCACCACATACAATCCAATCTCTGGAGACAGGAGATAAATTATGAATCCTTATTTTCAGATCAGAAAGTTGGGGGTAAATAGAAGCTAAATGATTTTTCAAGATCCCTCAAGCATTTGGTAGTATAGTTTGTTTTATAATGAAAGATCTTATGACAGATATCCAGATAAGAAACTTTTCCCCTTCCTTTCAGCCCCCAAAAGTGCTTTCAAAATTGGATCCAACGAGGAAAAGAATATATACCCCAATTCTCTTATGCAATCTGCCTTTTGCTTGGTAACTTGAGATGAGTTTGACTATCTATAATCAGTGCATAACAAGTCATTCAGATAAGCTAGTAAGATATAAGGTCTTGTATTGAACCCTAACAAGTGCTTACCACCTTATTTTTTTTATAGCTGTACGATTCTGTGACCGGTGTAATCTGATCAAGCCAGACCGCTGCCACCACTGCTCTGTCTGTGCTATGTAAGTGACGGCCATATTTCTCCTGAGCTGGGCTTGGCCACTGATGGTTGCCTAGACAACAAAATGACTGATCCTAACATGTAACCATACCTAGATAAGAGCATTTCCTTTCAATCATAATGAGCATATGCCAAAACCCCTCACACGGATGATGATGATTCAAGCTACTCTAAAGATAAGTAAGAGAAGTAAGACCACATTTTAAAAATAAGCATTTTATTTGTGGACAATTTTAGACTAACAGATTTTTTGTGAAGATAGTTCTTATATGTCTCACACCCAGTTTCCCTTGTTGTTAACATCTTATATTTGTATGGTACATTTGTTACAATTAATGAACTAACACTGATACATTATTTTTAACTGAAGTCTACATTTAGATTTCCTCAGTTTTTCCATAATGTCCTTTATCTCTTTCAGGATCCCATCCAGGATACCACATTACATTTAATAGTAATGTCCCATCTCCTTAACTTCTCTTAGCTGTGGCAGTTTCCCAGACTTGTTTTTGATAACCTTGACAGTTTTTAGGATTAATGGTCAAGTAGTTGTAGAGTGTCCCTTGATTCAGATTTATTTGATGCTTTCCTCATCATTGTTAGACTCAGGTAATATGATTTGGGGAGGAAGATCATAGAGTAAGGTGCCATTCTCATTACATCATATTAAGGGTACCTATAAACATGACTTATCACTGAAATGTTAATTTTAATCATCTGGCTGAGGTAGTTTGTCAGGTTTCACCACTGTAAAGTTGTTCTTCCTTTCTGTGCTTTACTCTTTGAAAGGAAGTCACTATGCACAGCCAACACTAAAGGAATGGGAAGTTATGCCCTCCATCCTTGAACACAAATTATTTCAAGTTATTTTGCTTGGGACATTTATCTCTTCTCTTCATTTATTTATCTATTCAATCACTTATTTATATCAGTATGAAAGCATAAATATTCATTTTATATTCTGCGTTATAACCCAATACTACTTTTTTGTTGCCCAAATTGTTCCAGCTTCATAAACCCCATTTTTATGTTGATACATGTAATCTTCGTGCCTTTTCTCTTAAGTACTTATTCCACCCATATTTTTCTTACCCTTGATTCAGATAGAGGCTATAGCCATATATTTTCTTCTGTATTTTTATTTAACTAAGTATTAAATAAAATGATAGGAGACATAGTAGACCTGTATTAATAATCTGGAGCTTCCAATCCCTTTGAAAGGTTGGACTTATAAGCATGTAACTTGCTGCTGGCATGATCCCATAAAGTGTTGTTGTGATTACCTCATCCTAGGAATAACTGAGGGCCACAGTTTTGGAGTCACTATAGTGGAAATCTGAGAATGGGTGTATTGGAACCATGTAAAAATACTGGTGAAACCTTGAGTTTAATTATGAGGTGTTGCTTCATTTCTATAGCCTCACTTATCACACTGTATTTTGTCCCCTTCGTAGGTGTGTGTTAAAAATGGATCATCACTGCCCTTGGTATGTCTGTTTGGTTCATTTCTTTTCTCTAAAAGGGTCAAAGTTGCTCAATTATATGCACTTTTCTAAGCACAGTTGTCACATGCCTGTTTCTGCTGCCATAATTCACTGGGTTTTATATTTCTGTAGGGGACAGGGGATGGGTAACATTTAAAATGAAGAAAAAATATAACACCAAAGGTATGGTGGTGAATTCCTGGAGTTACAAAGCTAATGGTCTCCTATTCATTACTTTAGCAATTGAGCATAGTAATGAAATACAGCACAAACATTTCTCCTTTTAACACTACACAATTCAGTTCTGTTTCTAGCTGGCTTGATGTTTGAAATATTCTAGAATGTTAAATTCAGCAATTTCCCAAGTTTTGTATATCAGACCCAGCAGGCCAGTCTGAAATCACCTAACTACAAAAAGAACATGCCACAACTGTACCAAATGTAGCTGCTAAAACCGTAATACATTTTTAGCAACCAGGATCCAGGTTTGCTTGGTTGTGCCAGGAACTAGTACAGAGGTATTAGGTAGGCCAGGTGTTGCTGTGCCTGTAAATGAAAGAAGAAACAAGTGAGACATGAACTTGTTTTTTCCAGTTTGTTCTTATTAAGGGACTTCTATCTCTATTGGGTTTTTACACTACACATAATGAAGCAGCAGAACTAGCATGATTCCATTGCCTAGTTCACTTATGTATCACTGTGCTCTCAATCAAGAGGTCCTGATTTCAAATTAGTTTTTCTTTTTTTTAGGGTTAATAACTGCATTGGATTTTCCAACTACAAATTCTTCCTTCAATTCTTAGCTTACTCTGTTCTCTACTGCCTGTACATTGCTACAACAGTCTTCAGCTATTTCATCAAATACTGGAGAGTAAGTTAAAAAATATCCTGAAGGGTCCCCCTAGAACAAATGCACACCCACTCCAACTTGTGACATTGTTCACCCTCTATCTTTTTACATTTTAAAATAGCTAATACTGTTGAAGTAAATGGAAGAGAAGGCACTAAAAACAGGTTTTCCATATTGAATACTCTGAGATTTAGGAAGCTGTTATTTAAAGATTCTAGCAAAACAAGTTTCTGCCATACATGAGAATCTTGCTAAGGCCTTCAGGAACCTAATCTCTTGACTCCTACTGATTCTTTACAATGTATTTCTCCAGCTGAGTTTTAAAAATCCACTTCTTACCAGTTATAGATTTGAAAAATGTTGAAACTAATTTTAAATCCCTAGTTTCCTAAGAAAAAGGCTAACAAATCACTCCCCTGTTGTTAGAAAATACTTCCTAATTCCCTATTCAAAGGAGAGTTGCAGAATTCCTACTGTACAGAAAGATATACTGACTAATCTTCACATAACGGGGAGGGGTTTTTTTGTTTTGTTTTTTAACTTTGTTTGACAAACACTAGGTTAGCAATTAGGAGAATGGAGATCGAATACTGGATCTCTTACCTGCTTCACTAGCTCATTGCCAAGATCAAATGAAACAGATGTTGAAAGTGCTTTACCTTTCAAAATGTGATTCAAATAATTATACTGAAATATCAAAAAAGTTATTTCATCCACTTGAAGATATAAATTATATCCAACTACTTCCAAAACAGAAAAACAGACTTAAGGCAGATTTTTTTATTTACAAATGTGTATAAGGCCTAGCAGAAGTATAGTGAAATATGTTCTTTTTAAATGTCTTACTAGTGGACCCCAGGAGATATCCCTTCCCCACAACTCCAGTACAATTACTAAGACATCCATGATGAAGACTGTCCAAACTGAAACTGAATATCAAAAGGCAGATGTGGACAGAGCTACTAGTTATTAGGGATTGCACAAGAGACTATATGACATGAATATCTCACCTCAAATGGAGACATAAAGCCATAGAGAAAGAACATGAATTCAGTGACCAGAATATAGATTATAATAAACTGAAGAAAAAAAGGAGAAGGATAAGGCAATAGGAACCTAAATAGCCAAGAATATTTAAATTATTAATCAGTGCATTGATCCCTAGTAATATAGGAAAGATAGTGTAGAAAATTATAGTGATGTGTGTTTTCCATTTCCCTTTCAACTTGCTGAATCAGTTCAGATATTTAATAACTTTAGGAATAAGGAATTATATAATAGATGTCATAATCATCAACTCAGGGATACAAACAAAACTTTATGCAGAAGTAAAACTTTTTCATACATTTTCTATAAATATAAAATGCTTCATCATCTCTTCCTTTGTCCATTTCCACAGCACAGGATTGTTGTAAAGTTACAATAATTTTAAAATATATTATAAAATCCACATACTGAGCTACTACCCTGAATGTAAAGAAAATCTGCTATGTCCCATCAGCAGGGAAAGTGTTGGCCTTGGTCTTCACTACAGACCTTTCTTGGTGCTTAACACAGTAGGCTACTGTTTAGGAACCACTTTTTACCCTCGTAACAAAATAAACAATATTGCATTTCACACATTTTGCCTTTAGCCCACCTAGTCAACCAATAATCAAATATCACAATGCCAGCCAGGTGTCATGTGCTTTTTTCATTCTTGAATTAATCATCAGAAATGTGCCAGTATTCACAAGTAATACCAAGAGTGAACATAACCTTGTTCTCTTTATATTCCCTCATGTTTTTTTCTCCACAGTAGGCTAGCTCATGCCTTATAGATCAGAGGCAAGGAAATGTGTCCTGGCTTGCCCTAAAATGAAAAGGGCATTGACAGTTCAGAGAAATGCTTCTTTGCAGTCTCTTTAGCCAGATAACACTTTAATGTAGTTTAGGGATGGCTTTCTCAGTTTAAATTGAATATCCCCTTAAAATAAAAAGTAAACACTGCCATGTGTTTTGAAAGCCATGTATCAAGGAGACAAGCTGTGCTCCTATCAATAGCAACCTTCGTTTGTATGGCACTTTACAATTTTCGAAGCACTTTTATACCCCTTATCTCATCTGATCCTTACCACAACCCTGTGAAGTAGGCAGAGCATGAATTATCAGTCTTATTCAAAGATGATAAAAACTGAGGCTCATAGTAGTTTAGTGACTTGTCTATGATCACCCAGCTTGTAAATTTCAAAGTTAGGACTTTCACCTAAGTCTGACCCTAAGCCCCATGAACTTACACACTGTACCATGTCCTACTGCCCATTATGGCTCTGCTGTGGAGAGCTCTAGCTCCATGGGAATAAGAATTCAGAAGACCAATAGATTATTTATCTCCTCTGTATATTGAACAATAGCTACTTTGATAAGAGATTGATCTTTTCCTTATGCAAAAAATAGTAATACATTCCTCACATATTGGGCCATGGATCTCCTCACAGAACTATGAATTATTTTAGAATCAGGAAAATAGCATTATTCTGCCAGTATTCATCTGATCTCTCTCTGATGGCTATTACTTTGAGTGATTTAGCGTGGTTATCTCCTGAGAAGGTATTTTTGAACATAGGGCTATCCCCCTCTTCTAACAAAAAAAAAGTTTAAGAACTCTATCAAGGGGCAACACAGTAGATATGCTTTGGCAGACAGAAAAATGTTCTTCAAGAGTAATTGGGCGGGGTGAGGGAAGAGACTTCAGCTCAGCCAGACAGACTGTGGACTGACTTTGTATCAGTCCCTCTTGTCTAGCCATTTTCTACTATCCATTTATATGTGAAAAAATAAGAAGTAAAATAAATGTGAGCTTTAAAATATTTTTAAAACATTCTTTAAAAACTAAAGATTGTGAAAGCAAAAACACAGTCAAGGCAAAACCCACTGCAAAGCAATATATGGAGTTTTTTCTGTAAGTTCAAAATAAAACAAAAACCAATCTAATTCAGTTTAGGTGCTTAGGCCAAGAATTTGTAGAGGGATCATTTCAAAAAAGAGAGTTTCAGGTAAATATTCTTGAAGGTTGAAGTTCTTGAGGTAGCTCTTTGCTGGGCTGCTCTGTCCCTATGCAATTTTCACTTGGACCCCCACTCAGCTGGCAGCATCTGACTGGCTGAAGATAACGGGAAGCATCCTTATCTTCATCCTTCAGTATACAACCTGGAAGATTCCCAATATTTCCACACATAAAAATGAATAAAAATATTATCTCAGAGAAGAAAAAAATCTGTACTATCTGAACTTGCCAAGTGTTGCCAAGCCTTAACTTTCTCCTTCCAAATTGGAGTAGAACTAGATCACTCAGAAGTTAAGGTCCACTTAAGAATCACATTTAACTTTATTACTAGAGAGAAATTGGAAATATTTCAAAGTGATTCATCACACTGAAACAATAATTATCACAGGAAAGGAGGAAATAAATAATAGTCATTCCCCCAACTGTTCACACCAAAATTGAAAATGTTTTCTAAGATTCTCTGCAGAAAATAAATGTTACATGCTGCGCATGTTACAGAACTTTATAACATTCATTCTGGTCTAGGCTGCATGTCGGAAAAAAAGGCTGGTGCCACATGGAAAATAAGATGTCCTAGATAACTATAAAAATCTTTAGCCACCTAGTTTTACAGTTGCCTGTAAAAATTCTGCTTGATTTTTACTGTCTAAACAGCTGTTTCACAGGAGGTAATATATCAGCACATTCTACCTCAGCTATAAAAAAACAACCACACAAAATCTATAACAACTTTAAAATCAGGTTATGACTTATGGGTAGGACATTTTAAAATTCTACCTGTATGTTTTAACTTCTTACATACGTCACCATGACATTTTCAACATACACATGCCCAAGGAAACATGATATATAAAGAATTCCAGAATAACTTACCCTGAGACAAGAGGATAAGGCATATGAGTTCAAGATCTGAAACTAAATTGACTACAAGCTCTGAGAGGTTGCATACTAATTATGGCCCGAGAATAACCTTTTCACATTACCCTTTTATAATTGGTATCTAATATACTCTATTTTACACTGAACCGCACTTAAGCAAGGATCCATTTTAGGCTTTGTAGGCTGAGAGCACACTCACAGTTATCATCATTAACAGAAAGAACCATATTATAAAAATTTTACAGAATCTATTTTTTGAATTATAGCTAGACACTTTATACATGTGAAAAACTGCTAACCTATATATTTTTAAAAACTAGCCGTCCCCTTTTCCACTTTAATCTTTTGCTTGTTTATTATTTCTTTTCTAGGGGGAATTACCCAGTGTTCGCTCTAAGTTCCATGTCCTTTTTCTTCTCTTTGTGGCCTGCATGTTTTTTGTCAGCCTTGTGATTCTCTTTGGTTACCATTGTTGGCTTGTCAGCAGAAACAAAACCACCTTAGGTAAGACTTAATATTAAGATTAGGAAAAAACATATTAATGTGTGTCAGAGGGACCTGTGGATTGTTCCCAAGTAAAACTTCCAGTGAAGCATTTTAGCTGCATGACATCCCTCTACCCCCAAACTGAGACAGATGAAAATATATTTTACCAAAATAGAAAGGCATAGTGAATGAAGCTTATAGGCTAATTATGAGAATATTTTTTAATGAAACCCCACACAGAAACAAAAATGGCCATTGTTCTTTATAGTGCATACTGGGTAATAGCTCCCAAGGTTAATAGCTCAGAAGATTTCTAAAAGGTGTTCACATGAGGAAATTAAAGAAAGAATCAGTACAGAAGGGGATGTCAGAAGGGAGAAGTAAAGGTTGATAAAGACAGTAGGATCTAATGTATTATGCACATCTAAAACCAGAGCCCTGAGAAAAAATCCAAACCAACCACAACAAGATTCCAAAAGTCTTGAGAAACAAAAAAAAATCAGTAAATATCTGTAATCATCAAGGGGCTGTTTAGGTACTGTGGGAATGAGATAAACACATTGAACAAATGATTCTCTAGAAAATAAGTAAAATAAATGAACATATTTTCTGTCAGTTACTCTATAGGCTGTTATTTGGAAAACTATATTTCTGATGGATTCCAGTACATTTTATTTCATCTATGATGAAATAAGTATTTACATTCTGTACAAATCAGTACATGAGGAGTGAGGACAAAGTGTTCAAGTTTTGAATGTTGAATGTTTAGCTAGGATAGATTTGAGAAAAGTTTAGTGCAAAAGCTACTACACATTGGGAATTTATTTGCTAATAATGCTAACAGCTAAGAAAGTATTTGCAATCTATTGGCCGTGCATGATGGCTCACTCCTGTAATCCCAGTACTTTGGGAGGCCAAGGCAGGAGAATCACTTGAGCTGAGGAGTTTGAGACCAGCCTGGGCAACAAAACGAAACCCCATCTCTACAAATAAAAATAAAAATAATTAGCTGGGCGACTATTCACAATAGCAAAGCCATGGAATCAGCCTAAAGGTCCATCAATGGCAAACTAGATGAAGAAAATGTGGTACATATACACCATGGAATGCTACACAGCCATAACAAAGAATGAGATCCTGTCCTTTGCAGCAACACAAATGAAGCTTGAAGCCATTATCCTAAGTGAACTAACTCAGGAACAGAAAATCAAATACTTCATGTTCTCACTTACAAGTGGGAGCTAAAGACTGAGTACACATAAACACAAAGAATGGAACAACAGACATTGGGGCCTATTTGAGGGAGGAGTATGGGAGGAGGGAAGGGTTCAGAAAAATAAAAATTCACTCGGGTACTATGCTTAGTACCTGGGTGACAAACACCAAACCCTCAAGTCACAAATTTACCTATATAACAAACTTGTACATTTACCCTGAACCTAAAATAATAGTTACAATATTTTTAAAATAATAATCATTAGCTGGGTGTGGTGGCATGTGCCTGTGGCTGCAGCTTCTCCGTAAGCTGAGATGGGAAGATTGATTGACCCTGGCCAGGAGTTTAAAGCTGCAGTGAGCTAAGATTGTGCCACTGCACTCTAGCCTGGGTGACAGAGCAAGATCTTGTATCTATAAAAAAAAATAAAGTATTTGCACCCATTTTCTTAACCAAATATATATGTAGCCCCTAGTTGCTAGGATGGTAGATTAGCACATTTGGCTTAGAGACCAGCTACAAAGTGGAAAACCACTAAAAGCTTCATGATAACAGAGTCTGAAAACAAAGAACAAATGAGAAACAGTCAGATGCAGCCAGAGTCCAACAGTGAAATCATTTACTTAATGGGATAAATGTGTGTCTAAAAATAATGTTCTCTAACATGGTCCCATTCCTTACAGTCTTTGAAGTGATTATGGCTCACCAATTGACATTTTATCTGAAGTAAAACTCAGTTTCTTACATTGCAGGCTTCAGCATGAACACTTTCATTTTTGAAATGTTTCAAAACCAAATCAATGTTATTACCATCTCTTTATGTCATTATTTTCTTCCCAGCTCTAAAGACGGTAGCCATTCGGTTGTTGTTGCCACTTAGATTCAAATAAAGTGCTGTTAAATCTGTTCCTATACTCTAAATTCAGCAGTACAAAATACATACTACCCCCATGGCTGCTTAATTATTTTTACCACCATGTGTTTCCCCTGTCTTTTAAAAAGAGAATTCTAATTCTTTATATGCAGTAACAAGCTTAGTTTGTGTTAAGTGATTAAACTGGTTTTTACTAAGTAATTTAGCAATATCTAAAAATTGCTAATCAATATTAGCAATTAAAAATTGCTAAGCAGTATCTGTGCTACCATAGCAAAAAGATATGATAGAACCAAGTCACATACATGGAGAAATGTAAATCATGACTATGCTGAAATATGTTTCTTTATTGTTTTCTTCCTCTTTTCTTCAACTCTCCTGCCCTGCCTTAGAGGCCTTCTGCACTCCAGTGTTTACAAGTGGCCCAGAGAAAAATGGGTTCAACCTTGGCTTCATCAAGAATATCCAGCAGGTGTTTGGAGATAAGAAGAAGTTCTGGTTAATACCTATTGGTTCCAGGTGAGTAAATATTACCACTGGAAGAAGTTAGTACTGGACCATCCCTTAAACCAGCAAATTCAATTTTGATTGTAGTATGCAGCAGGTATCAGTCCAATGTGAAACTCTATTCCCCAAGTTCTTCATTTCTAGGTTAGTAAAGACAAATAAAGAGGTGAGGGTCTGATAAAATAGATATTCTCATGCTTTCTTTGTGGCAATCTGCAGTGGCACTACCAATCTTTTATAACCGAATTTGGTAATATCTATCAAAAAACGTAAGAATCTACATGTCCAACATCCCAGTAATTCCATTTCTGGGAATTGAATCTACCCTAAAGACAGAGACAAACTATGCACAAAAATGTCCATCACAGCATTATTTGTAGCCAATAATTAGGAAACAACCTAAATATCCAAACATATGGGAATGGATAAGTGTGTGTGTGTGTGTGTGTGTATGTATATATATATCTACTGGATGGAATACTACACAATCAAAAGTAATGGTTATAAAGACTATGTCACAAAAGGGAAAGTGCTTACTATATTTTAAGTGGAAAATGAAAAATCCAGTACACTGTGATTAAAAACATAAGTATATATGGAAGAAAAACAGCAGAAGAGAAATATACCAAAAAATGTTTAAAAAGGTACTATATTTTAAGTGAAAAATGAAAAATTCGATACACTGTGATTAAAAACATAAATATATATAGAAGAAAAACAGCAGAAGAGAAATATACCAAAAAATGTTAAAAATGGTAAGGGCAATAGTCTTAGAAATTATTTATCTTTTCTCCATTTTACATATTTTGTGGTTAATACTAATTTTATGAATAAAACATATAAAAAGCAAGAACAAAGATTAATTTGAGGTCATAGGTAATTCTTTTTTTATTATACTTTAAGTTCTGGGGTACATGTGCAGAACATGCAGGTTTGTTACATAGGTATGCACGTGCCATGGTGGTATGCTGCACCCATTAACCCATCATCTATGTTAAGTATTTCTCCTAATGCTATCCCTCCCCTAGCCCCCCAACCCCCAACAGGCCCCAGTGTGTGATGTTCCCCTATCTATGTCCAAGTGTTCTCATTGATCAACTCCCACTTATGAGTGAGAACATGCTGTGTTTGGTTTTCTGTCCTTGTGTTAGTTTGCTGAGAATGATGGTTTCCAGCTTCATCCATGTCCCTGCAAAGGACATGAACTCATTTTTTTGTGGTTACATAGTATTCCATAGTGTATATGTGCCACATTTTCTTTATCCAGTCTATCATTGATGAGCATTTGGGTTGCTTCCAAGTCTTTGCTATTGTGAACAGTGCCGTAATAAACATATGTGTGCATGTGTCTTTATAGTAGAATGATTTCTAATCCTTTGGGTATATACCCAGTAATGGGATTGCTGGGTCAAATGGTATTCTCATTCTAGATCCTTGAGGAATTGCCACACTGTCTTCCACAATGGTTGAACTAATTTACACTCCCACCAACAGTGTAAAAGTGTTCCCATTTCTCCACATCCTCACCAGCATCTGTTGTTTCCTGACTTTTTAATGATCGCCATTCTAACTGGCATGAGATTGTATCTCATTGTGGTTTTGATTTGCATTTCTCTAATGACCAGTGATAATGAGCTTTTTATAATATGTTTGTTGGCCACATAAATGTCTTCTCTTGAGAAGTGTCTGTTCATATCCTTCGCCCACTTTTTGATGGGGTTGTTTGGTTTTTTCTTGTAAATATGTTTAAGTTATTTATAGATTCTGGATATTAGCCCTTTGTCAGATGGATAGATTGCAAAAATTTTCTCCCATTCTATGGGTTGCCTGTTCACTCTGATGATAGTTTCCTTTGCTGTGCAGAAACTCTTTAGTATAATCAGATCCCATTTGCCAATTTTGGCTTTTGTTGCCATTGCTTTTGATGTTTTGTTCATGAAGTCTCTGCCCATGTCTATGTCCTGAATGGTATTGCCTAGGTTTTCTTCTAAGATTTTTATGGTTTTATGTCTTATATTTAAGTCTTTAATCCATCTTGAGTTAATTTTTGTATAAGGTGTAATGAAGGGATCCAGTTTCAGCTTTCCACATATGGCTAGCCAGTTTTCCCAACACCATTTGTTAAATAGGAAATCCTTTCCCCATTGCTTGTTTTTGTCAGGTTTGTCAAAGATAAGATGGTTGTAGATGTGTGACATTATTTCTGAGGGCTCTGTTCTGTTCCATTGGTCTATATATCTGTCTTGGTATCAGTATCATGCTATTTTTGTTACTGTCGCCTTGTAGTACAGTTTAATTTGAGGTTATAGGTAATTCTTAGAACTGCAACCATTATGCAGGGAAAGTAGTGGATGAGAAATAAACAGTCAAGCTTGTGTTCTGTGAATGACTTTGTGAACCAGATTGAACCACCATCAACTAAACTAATTCTGGAGCAGAGCTTGCTTTTAGCCTTCTTGTAGCCCCCTTTCGGTCCCCTCCTTAGACAGGGATACATTCATGTTCACTTAGTTGAGGAAACTTTGTTGGGGGTAGGGTGGTAATTATGGAAAAATTTCTGCTTGATTGATTGCCTTGATACTTCCTGTGTAGCAGTTAGTATTTTACAGACTCATTTATTTCAGAGATGTGGTGTATCCAACTAACCTGTCTATAAATCACAAGGCAAAACTATGTCAGTGGGTAATATTGATTAATAACTGTTACCAGGTATTACCTACACCCTATTCACATACTCACATACGCAAATATACACACATCATCACCACATCAAACGGAGGTGTAAAATGAGTCTTCTCTGGAATAAAGAACAAAACCAAAAATCAAGGCCCATTCATTTATAATCAGTACACTTACATTCTCTTTAGAGTGCTATCGATAAAATCTGTCAACTTTCAATTTACCATATACGTGAACAGGAGAAAAGGCATAGATAACATCAAAAGTCATTCAGACTCAAAGGTGGAATGCATTCAGATACCTAAACTGAAATGTTCAAACTGTAACCTCTTCTAACTGGGGCCAGCTCAGTTCCTTCCAATGCATCCCATCTGTTAGTGGACAGAAATTAACCAGGGAGTTGACCCTAGCTTACCACAGGTAGCTACAAAGCGAGACCCCACGTGGATAATTGCCCCCAAAATCTGCAGTCTAGAGATGGCTCACTCTGGCTCTTTCCCCTAGTTCCTAATAACATTTCTGCCATGCAAACCAAATAAATAACAGTGCATTCAGGCATTATCTTTCACCAATTCACACCAGCTTATCTCCACTGTATTCAATGTTTCAGAGACTGGTCATCTTTCTTGAAAACTTAGAATCAAAGCAGTAAGATAATGGGATATAAATTTGTATCGTCATCATTAAGTGATATGTATGAAGCTTGCTGTGTGTGCATATTGCCATACTGGGCATTTTGGGAACCAAACTACAGAGTTGCTTACAAACAAGAAGTTAACACTGATGCAGACACAGAAATAAGATATGGAAATCGAGAGCAATATAGCAACTAAATGATGCTATTGTAAGAGTCCATTCCGCCACGGCTTTAGACAATAAGACTAAATATGCCTAACAACCTCCCTCTTGTTTTTAAGAGGATTATAACCTTCACAAAAGTCTATGTCAGCTGCAATAACTCACTGCCTTTCTTTTCCCACCAGCCCTGGTGATGGACACTCCTTCCCTATGAGGTCTATGAATGAGTCACAGAACCCACTGCTAGCAAATGAAGAACCCTGGGAAGACAATGAGGATGACAACCAAGGTAAGTTGGGTCAAAGACTATGAAGTCCACGTTAATACAACCAATGTAATGTGGTGAGTAAATAGTGTCCAGAAAGATTTTATAAGCATGTCAACCTCATAAGTGTCCTCTGGATGGAGGAGAGCAAGTATGGCCAGATTTGTTTAGTAACCATGGGAAATTTAGATAAGATTAGATTGCAGCTTGGGAGATTCCTTAACAGCTTTGTGATTCCGTGATTTATATCACCAGTCAGATATACATCTGGATATATATGGATTTCTAAACAATCCTGCTGGGTAGTCACTTGTAGTGCTTTGCTTGAATGTGGAGTTCAATTTAATCAATGGGCAACAATTGACCTTTCTCCATCCTCCTTCATTCACATTGGTTAAATTTTCTTTAAAATCCTATGCTCAGTCTCTTTTTAGAATGGTTTAAATACACTAAAAACTAAAAGATAGTAATGGGAGAAGCCTACACATGCATGTAGTCTACTTTTCTAAAAGGAAGAGGGGCAAAGGAAAATAAGTTCCAACTTTCTACTACCAGTTCACTGGGTCATCCTAAGGTGTTTTGTAAAGAATTAAAAGTTGAGTTCTCATGTAATGTATCCCCATTGCCAGCCCTATTCCTTGTCTCCACCTGTTGCTGTGCCTACTTTTGTGCCTCCAACATTTACTTATGTTGCTAATACCAACCATTAGAGAGTCGTTTTGGCTACTGTTCCCAATAATGCAGTAGCTGGCAGCAATTTTGAGTAGAAACTTGTAGTAGCTATCACAAACCGTACCTGAGGTGAAGGAGGCTAAATGAGGACATGGAAAAGCATTGAAGTGCGAGCAGCCGTGGAGAGCAAGTCTTTCAAATTTTTTACTCAGTTGGATTATCCAGGCCCTGATTACCAGGAAATCTAGTTTTAGAGAAAAGCATGTTAGTAGGTCCAAGGAATACAAAATAGCCACAAATCCATAGATTAAAAAAAAAAAAAAAAAAAAAAAAAACAGTTATTGCCCATCCCAAAGAACTTACAACAAGGGCAACTCCCTTACTTCCTCCTGCTGACTGTTGGAAAATTGACTATATTTTGACCTATCTTCCTTCAGTCTTCAGTCTTTCTGAACTGACTTTTACTTACAGCAGTCATAAGTTATAACAACTCTTACTTTGGTATTAAACCCAAACTCTAATAGAAGCCAAATACTTATCAGGTCTTTACCTGGTTTGAAATAATTCACAATGGAAAAAGGTATTCATTATCTGACCTTTGTGTTGGCAAGTGGAATACTTTAAATGTAGATATAGCACCACATCATAAAGAGGTTATGTTTTGAAGCAGTCTCCAATTCCAGACCTTTTCAAAACTTTTCAACCATTAAAAAATTAGTATGTTATTTTATAGTTTACAAAGTGCTTTCCTATACTTTTTCTTCATATCCTTTGACCTGCACAACTTTCAGGTTAGATAGGCAGTGTTATTAATAGCATCCCCATTTTATAATTAAGAAACTAAAATTGAGAGATGTTAATCTCACATGTCAAGGTATCTTGATTCCAAATCCTAGGTTTTTTCCACTACAATGCTATATCTCTCTTTTGGACAAGTACATATGAGACACAGTGCTGTAATTGCATGCCATTTAGTTATCTGAAGTGTTCAGCTGCTTCTTACATAATCATAAAATCATAAACTGTAAGGTGCCTTTAGCTTTAGCAAGACCACTATGCCATCTTAGATAGCTGAGGGTTTTTTTTAAGTTCATTGAAGGAGACACCACAATCCTCCTTTGTAACCCATTCTAGTATCTAATGCAAGTTCTCATGCTGTATTCTTTAAGTTGGTTCTATGTTATCTTCAGTTGTTCCCATTTTCTGTGCATAACTGTCAGATACAAACAGTTCTTACACTTTTAACAACTTAGATTCCTAGGAAAGATGCTGTAAGTTGAAATTACATGTGTGTATTGAACTTAATTTCTTTTAGGAATCAAGTGGAATTTTTATTCCTAGCCCAAAATACAACATTTCATTTAGCATAAATGTACTCGTACAGCCGGGTGCTGTAGCTCATGCTTGTAATCCCAGCACTTTGGGAGGCTGAGGCGGGCGGATCACCTGAGGTCAGAAGTTCAAGACCAGCCTGACCAACATGGCAAAACCCCATCTCTACTAAAAAAGCACAAAAAAAATTAGCCAGGTGTGGTGACACACACCTTTCATCCTAGCTACTTGGGAGGCTGACACAGGAGAATCACTTGAACCCGGGAGACGGAGGTTATAGTGAGCTGAGATCGTGCCACTGCACTCCAGCCTGGGCAACAGAGGGAGACTCCATCTCAAAAGAAAAAAAAACCATGTACTTGTACATTGCATAATGTAAAACAAACATTTGGCCAGGCACAGTGGCTCACGCCTGTAATCCCAGCACTTTGGGAGGCCGAGGTGGGCGGATCACCAGAGGTTGGGAGTTCAAGACCAGTCTGACCAACTTGGAGAAACCCGTGTCTACTAAAAAATACAAAAATAGCCGGATGTGGTGGCGGGTGCCTGTGGTCCCAGCTACTCAGGAGGCTGAGGCGGGAGGATTGCTTGAGCCTGGGAGGTCGAGGCTGCAGTGAGCCGAGATCGCACCACTGCACTCCAGCCTGTGTGACAGAGCAAGACTGTGTGACAGAGCGAGACTGTGTCTCAAAAAAAAAAAAAAAAAAAAAAGATAAAATATGCTAACAATAACCTGTTAGGTACAAATGTAATATCACAGTCAGGAACTACATAAAGCCTTTGTGATCTTTGAAATCCCGGCCTTATATTAGCACAGCAAATTATAAGGTAAAGAAGCACCTTTATGAAATCAAGGGATTTAAATAGGCTTCTCTGATGTCATTTTTGAAAATAAAAAGTTTAATTAATGCACAAATATATAGAAAATGCTTAAATACCCAGTGTATAGATCCATGTAGTCTTCTGAGGAGATTTAACAGGCATCTTTTTAAAGACTTTTGAGTCTTGGGGCTATATTTTAGCTTCTTGAGGAAATGATCCAAAGATATCTGTTATATTACTGCTTTTGCTCATTATAAATTTTCCTGTAGCTTACATAATAAAAATTAAAGATTACAGTACAATTCTTTCTGCTGTATTCAAATTGGGATCCATTTTCTTAAAATTGGATAGGTGGCATCTATGGCTCTACCTAAGTATCATGAAAAATAAGTTGGGTATGATTGTCAGGGTGATTCTTAAATGAAAACTGCTGTGGGTCAGAGCTTGCCTATATGTGAAACCCATAAAGAACTTCTTCAGCTTTCTTGGGGTCAGGGGCTGGGAGTAATCCTAGTTCCTTAATATTTCTTGTACAGCTGATTTCTCAATTTTTTACATCTTTATGGCTCTGGTGCCTTTTTGAATGTTCTGTGTTTCTTTTTTTTTTTTCCCCCTTGAGATAGAGTCTCACTCTGTCATCCAGGCTGAAGTGCAGTGGTGCAATCTCGGCTCACTGCAACCTCTGCCTCCCGAGTTCAAGTGATTCTCCTGCCTCAGCCTCCCAAGTATCTGAGACAACAGGTGCGCGCCACCATGCCTGGCTAATTTTTGTATTTTTAGTAGAGTTGGGATTTTGCCGTGCTGGCCAGGCTGGTCTTGAATTCGTATGTTTCTTTATTGTTTCAGTAGTAACAAAGGCTCTGCCATTTTCCAAGTGTCACTCCTTTCAAATTAGTTGCTGAACTCTTTGATTGTGGTCATTTATTTGAGATGCAGTATCCCTGGAAATCTGCAGGAGATAGCCACAGTTAATATTCTCTATGCAGTAAAGTTAACAGAGATGTCGACAAAGACTCCAGCAGCAGAGCAATGTTTTTTTCTATTTGCAAAGGAGTAACTCTAGTTTTTAAATATGTATACTTTTGTTTGTTTTCTTTCATTGTAAAAATTTAAGATGTATGACATGATGTTTTGAAATACAAATACATAGTGAAATGATTACAGGTAAGCAATTTAACAAGTACATCATCTAACATAGTTACCTTTTTTATGTGATAAGAGTACTTATAATCTATGCTCTTAGAAAATTTCCAGTATACAATACAATATTATTAACTATAGCCCCCATGCTATACGTTAAATTTCTAGATTTGTTCATCCTGTGTAACTACTTAATTTGTACACTTTGGCCTACATTTCCCCCAACCCTGCCTGCTTCTGGTAACCACTGTTGTATTCTCTGGCTCTCTCTTTGTCTGAGAATCCACATATAAGAGAGATCATGCAGGATTTTTCTTTCTGTGTCTGGCTTATACCACTTAACATTATCCTCCAGGTTCATCCATGTTGTTGTAAATGGAAGAATGGCCTTCTTTTTAAAAACCGAATAATAGCCGGGCATGGTGGCTTACGCCTATAATCCCAGCACTTGGGAGGCCAAGGTAGGTGGATCACGAGGTCAGGAGATCGAGACCATCCTGGCTAACATGATGAAACCCCGTCTCTACTAAAAATACAAAAAATTAGCCAGGCATGATGGCATGTGCCTGTAATCCCAGCTACTCAGAAGGTTGAGGCAGGAGAATCGCTTGAACCTGAGAAGTGGAGGTTGCAGTAAGCCAAGATCTCACCACTGAACTCCAGGCAGGGCAACAGAGCGATACTGTGTCTCAAAAAAAAAAAATCAAGTGTATATCTATCCCGCAATTTTCTTTATACATTCATCCATCCACAGAGACATCCGTTGTTTCCATAGCTTAGTTACAGTGAATAATGCTGCAGTAAACATGGGAGTGCAGATATCTCTATGAGGTACTGTTTTTATTTTATTAGATATATACACAGAAGGGGGATTGCCAGATCATATAGTAGTTCTATTTTTCAATTTTTGAAGAACCTCCATACTGTTTTCTGTAATGGCAATACCAGTTCATATCCCCTCAACAATGGATAAGGATTCCCTTTTCTCCACATCCTCACCAACATTAGTTATCTTCTGACTTTTTGAGAATGACCATCCTAACTGGTGGAAGGTAATA